ATCGTTTCCTCCACCGTCTATGGCACGAAGGATGCACCTCGTGGTTGGTGGAAGAACCTGGACAGCACTTTGAAGAAGAAAGGATTCCATCCAGTTCCCTATGAGCCAGGAGCCTACACTTTGTTGGATGGGCAATCTGGACTGGCAGGTCTGTTGGCCACTCACGTTGACGACCTGCTATGGACTGGAGGACAGGTCATTGAAGATCTGATGAAAGATGTGTGCAGCCACTACAACTTTGGCAAGGTTGAGAAAGATGAGTTTCGCTACTGCGGTCGCAACATCTCCAGGACTGCTGAGCACATCCAAGTCAAGTGCGACAACTTGATTGACCGCGTGCGGCCAATTTGGTTGACCCATGAGCAGAAGCGTCATGAAGCTCAACCAGTACCTGAAGCAGTTCGTGGGCAGCTCAGGAGCATCATCGGCAGCTTGGCATGGTTGGCTCGTGTTTGCAGGCCAGATTTGGCCTATGCAGTGTGCCGCATGCAGATGAGCGTGCACTCGGCCACCTTTGGTGATGTGAAGTATGCCAACTCCATTGTGGCATTGGCCCAGAGGACCAAGAGCTTTGGCCTGAACTACCCCATCAAGGCCTTTGAGTTTGAGAAGGCGATGATCCTGGCAATTCAAGATGCCAGTCATGCAGCTGACTTTGAAGCTAGCTCGTCAGGAGCAAAGATGGGACACAGAAGTCAAAGCGGCCGACTCCTTTGCCTCGCGAGCCCGGACTTCCACAAGTCCAAGAAAGGACAGCTGGCGCTGATCGAGTGGCACTCAACGGTGCTGAAGAGGGTTTGCAGGTCGACACTGCAAGCTGAAGCCTTAAGCCTCCTAGCTGGAAGCGAAGAAGCCGATCACTTGAGGTTCGTGCTATATGGTCTTCTACACCCTCATTGCACTGTCCCTCGGTGGCAAGTTCGTGCGATGGACTCAGTGCTGGTGGAGTGGGTGACGGACTGCAGGTCGCTCCACGACCATGGAAACCAGGCTGGCCTCCACATTGTCAGCGACAAGCGATTGGCCATCGACATGTGCGGCTTGCGCCAAAGCCTTTGGAGACTTCCAGAAGAGGAAGTTGGAGATCCTTTGGCCACTGACCGGCTTCCAGAGGCCGGAACGACAAAGCTCACCTGGACCTCGACCGACAAGATGCTCGCGGACCCTTTGACAAAAGGGATGAAGCACGACGGCCTAAAGAGGCTGATGGATGGCTTTGAAGTCGACATGTCACCGACTTTGGATGGATTGAGGGCCAAGAAAGAATATGGGTGTGAAATGGAACATGTTGACCCGCTAGCGACCACATCTCATGCAGTTGCCCCTTCAATCCGTCCAGCAGGTTTGACTGTCACACAGGCATGAACGACCGCCTGTGGCTCAAGATGCAGGCTCAAAAGGACGCGCAGCTTTTGAAGCCTTTTCACACGTGGGTGTCACGACTTTTCATACTATATCATAACCTTGACAAGCCAGGCAAAAAGGCTTCTTAGCCGTGGCCCTAGCAGAAATCCCAGGTTTGCTGTGCTTCGGTGAAGTTTTCATCTTCATGGTGGGTGTGATCTCCTCGATTTTCATTGACATGGTCCTGCGCGAGCGGATCTATGCGATGCTCGACACTGCAGACGCGGAGTCCTTAATTTGCGGCTTCCGGCGGGTCTTGCGGGGACTGTGCGATGGTGAGGTGCTGCTGGACAGTCACATGAGTCTCGGCCTGGAGGGGAGTGGCCACTGTTGCGTAGGTCAAAGCCTCTAAGCAGATGGTGCTGAGATGGTGATGCTGGCCGCCACCTTCGCAGTCATACCTCCTCCTTCCATGGTTGGCCTTTGCGCCCACCTAGGAGTCCATTCATCCTGCAAAATCCGTGAGGGGGCTCATTTTAGATTCATAAACGATGGCATTCACTATTAAGAACCTCATCCAATTACTTTGGTCCAGCTACAGGGCAGGCAAACATTAGCAAGTATGGGTGCCAAGGTGAGGTGTTTTGTGTAGCTGAGCATGCGGTGCGGATACGTTTCGAGGACAACAACAACGGACAAGCCAAGTTCAGGGTCAAAAGACCCTCTCAAAGCTTGTAAGCTCATGAATCATGAGTTGTTGCTTGGGTAAAACCTGATGAATGAAGAGCTGAAGTTGGCATTGGAGCATGGACATGCTGAACTCGAAGTGACATTTTTTTGAATATAGACGTGATCATCCCCAGAGATCTAGAGGACAGCTTTTGAAAAACAAACATGTACATATAGCTTTTCAATATAGAAGTGATTGTTCCCAGAGATTTGGAGAGACACCTTTGAAGCAAAAGTTTTTCTAAAAAGTTTCTTTTTTGCTTTAAAGCTGGAAGTGATCATTCCTAGAGATTGCTTTTCAAAATCTGTTTGCCTACTCAAAGACAGTGTTGTTACCTAGCTCCCAGCACTCCCAAGGCAAGAAACACTGTGGTTTGTAGCATTTTTTTTCTTAAATCCACATCCCCAGCAACACCGGCTCTCAAAAAGAGTTGATAACTTTGGGAAGCTGCCAAGAATTAGAGAAACTTATATGGAAAGGGATTATTTGGTCAAAAAAGACTTGTCACAATTGATGAGAACCCATGAGACCCATTAGACAAAACTATTTTTCAGGACCAGGTGCCTTCCTGGTCTACTACCTTGAAAATTTGTTTAGGAGCAACCTTCAAATACAGGACTGATAAGGAATTGATGGCCTTGGGGAGCTGGCAAGAAGTCGACACAAGTTGTAATGGCCAATTATCTCAGCAACCCAGCCATTGGCTTAGTAGTATTAAGACCCCAGGCACGAAAGTGCTTTCCCTGACAATATTCACAAGTGAGAGCCCACTAGACTTTAGACAAACCTATTGTTCAGGATCAGGGGCCTTCCCGGTCATTTGTTTAGGAGCAATCTTCACATACAGGATTGGTGAAGGAATTGGTTGCTTTGGCAAGCTCTCAGTTATGCAGAAAAACTAGAGAAACTTGTCATTACCGTTGTCTCATCAAGCTTGGAGTTGGCTTGGTAGTGTTGAGATCTCAGGAAAGGACATGCCTGCGGATGTAACTTTCCACAATTGAGAACCCATTAGGCAAACCTATTGTTCAGGACCAAGGGCCTTCCTGGTCAATGTGTTTAGGCTGAATCTCCACATAAAGGACTGGCATGAGCCAACAAGAAACCAGCATGACCGACAGGTTTCTAGGGAATGTGTTACTGTTTGAGAAGGGGAAGAAACTTGGCAGTTAGACCACATGATAGAGGATTGGTGAAGGTTCAATCCTTTGTAAACAATTGGAGCTGACTGCATTTGTGTCAAGGACCGTAAGACTGGCATGGGCCTCCACAACGCCTCCACAACGTCCCACTCTCCACAACGCCGGTTTCGCGATCAGCGCCTTACTGTTACTGAGGACAATCGCCCAGGAAAGTGAATGCTTGAAACACTTGATTTTGACTGATGTGAACCCTGACCTTAGCTGTCCAACAAGCTTTCTATTGTCCTTGGCTTTCCAGTTGGTGTGCAGCTGCCCCCGCTACAGAGTTCAATAGACTGTTGTGTTTATATACGGAATTGCTTGTGACCCCACCTGATTGGGACAAATGAGGAGCCTCAAAGGGAGGTGCTTTGGGCAGTTGTTGGCGGATGAGGAACGCGCTCGCTTTGACGAATTTGTAGACTCCTCCACCAACGCATTTGGCTTGCCCGAATCCAAGCATCTTGGAATGCTTATGATAGTGTGGCTTGCCCGGTCATCAGCTTTCAAGTCCTGAGCGAGATGCAGCCCATACGACGATCACAATCTCTTGAGCACAACTATATAGCTGTTTGACGTCCGTAGTTTTTTTTTTCTGAAAACCAATCTCATACTGAGTACTCGTCACAGACAGCCAGGATTGATGCTTTCCTGCGGTTTAAGCCTTCTTTCAAGTAGAGATCTGATGAAGTTCCACCTTGTTCAGACACCAGAAGCCAAGATTGCAGGCATTCAGCTCCTCCTTTTTGCTCACGGGTCTCTTTCCGTGGATCGGCGGGCATCCGAGTGGCGGCAGATGTCTACCATGTGCCGGTGCCAGGGCTATTCGGCGCCAGCGAACCACATCACCTCATCGCCTTCAAGGAGGCTGTCTGAACAGCTTGATCAAATGCTTGAGTTGGCTCATTGCAGCTTACAGAATCAAGAATCGTTGCCTTTTAGTAGGGGCAATTCTTTTGATGATTTGCAATCATAGAGGTATGTCTTGAAATAGGAGAGCCTTTGAGTCTGTTGTGATCCACCCGCATGGTGGTGAGATGCAGCATTACACATTTAGATTGCACACACACACACATATATATATATATAATATAGATTACATTATGATGTAAGTTTGCCAGCCTTGGGGTTGTATATAGGTATGTACCTTGGTGGTCGTCAGCTTGCAAGCGACCCCTCAAGACAAACCTCTTGACCCTGTCATGAAGCACCCTAAGAGTCGTACAATCAAACTTCATGCTGATGGACAAGGTGCAGCACAATCGTTACAGGGCCCAGGCCAGAACAACCACAACCACCTTTCCACTGGCATCCGTGCCAATCCCTTGGCACAGGGAATGATGGAAGCGTCATGTTGTGGCATGGCGCGGGGCGACTAGTGATTAGTGAGTCGGAGGGCAACCTCTACAAATGAAACAACCACCCACTGCAAGGGAGTTATTGTTCACCGAGACAGGACACTGAATCGCGTCCACAGCCGGAAGCTGGAGAAGGTTCTATTCCTGCAGAACTCCTGCATCGTCGCTTGTCCTGTGCTGGGTCACCCTTTGATCCTTCTTGATTTAACATCATAATATTGTGTGTATGGCTCCTAGTAGTAAGAATGCTCCTAGTAGCGATGCCAGGAGCCCCTAGTAGCGTCCTTGCTCCTAGTGGTAAGGCCAGCCCCTAGTAGCTTTTTGTTCCTATTAGTGTGTATATATATATATATTTATCTTAATGCCACAAGACGCAGCCGGTGCAAGGCATCAGCCCTTTGCAGTGCCGACCGCCCGACGCGGCTTCTGCCTCGGGGAGCAGCAGAGCTTCGAACTTGGAGACATGTCGAGAACTTTGTGAGATGACGTTGCTGATCAATGCAGAGACCGAACCGCAAGATGTGGAAGAGGTGGGGGTGCATTGGGCATTCCGGAGGTGGTGAAAATAGCTAGCAAGTGGCTGTAGACATATGTGACATGAGATGATGGAGGAAGAACTCCCGAAGTGAAGCATCGTTTTCGTATGTTTCCATTGTCTTCAGGCGCATTTGAGGTATCGGCGTGATGAGGAGCCCGCCGACATTGCCACAGCCTTGCAGTCTGGTATGCCCAGCTTGCGAAAGATGGTGAAGCCTACAGATTGGGAGAAGATGCGATCCAGCGTGGTGAGATTTGCAGAGAGGGCCTCGCATGATCCGATGCTCAGCTAGCAGACCGGTTGTGCCAGGTCAGTCCCAGTAGTCATGTCGGACCTTGATTTCCAAGCCGCCAACACAGCATTCAAGATATTTCCAGAGTATCAGATTCAGGATGTTCAATGATCTCCATTCGGGGGGATTAATGACCAACATCCGACATAACATTTGGCATTGGGAAAAGACTTGCAGTCAACCGATCAGTAAATGAAATCAATCGCCGGGCAGCTCCCTTGATGGATGGGTTGAACAAGAGATGAGAAGATAACCTCAGATGATTTGCATTGTAAATTTAGAGTCGCATAATTATATATTTGACTTGGACAAGTGAGGAGGATCCAACCCAAAGTCATAAAGCGAATGACCTTGGAGTGGCCTGGAAGCGGGCGGCTCATGGCAGAAGAGGCTTTCATCAAGAGGGCCGGCACAGAGCCGAAGGTCTGGTGGCTTGACCTGATCGACTTTTGGCATGTTTTATTGTTGAGCCGCCAGGTCCAGAATCGAGAAGGGAGGAGAGAACCGGGGTCTTGGGTGTCGACAAGCTGTGTGGCTTTGCGTGCGCACATAGATGTCCGAAAAGCATCCCGAAACGGCGCTTGAGGTTGCACGTGACCAAATTGCATCCCGAACGGCGACGGGCACGGCCGGTGGTTTTGGAGGGCATTGAGGAGATCGGGGCACCAAACTGCACCGGCAGGACACATCGTCCTTGATCTCAAGGAAGCAGCCCTTCAAATGGCACAGTCGAGGGCTGAACCGGTGAAACTACACTGAAATTGTGAAAAGCAGTGGGAAGGAAATCCTTGGCACAGCGCTTAAGGCGCACTCCAGGTCATTTGCATTTCGACAGAGCCAGAACTCCTTGCTTGTCCTTTCACTGTGGCAGACTTCCCTAGACTTGGGTTCATTGTATTGCTTCAGTTGAGTACAGGGAAGAGCCCTGAGAATGCACTCGCTTTGTCAGCGAGTAGAAGTACAGTACCCTGCAGATGGCTGCAGCAGACGGAGGTTTCAATTTTAAAGAAGTTTGAGTTTTTTTGCAGTGGAGACTCTTCAGTTGAAGGTGGACTCGGAGTTACAGCATGAGGCAAAATGGAAGGAAACACAGCACTGACCTCCAAGGCGCTGTCTGGAGGAAGAGGTTTGCCTAGGGGCTCGTGCCAACTCAACAGATGTGGGCTGATTTCCTGGTAACTATACCTTTGAAATCGATGAAGATGGACCATGGATCAGGAAGTTTCCCTTCAAGCCATGGGTTTTGATGCCAAGCTGGCTTTAAATATCGACTAGACTCAGTCCCTGGCAAGGCAAAGGCTGATGACAAACAACCTCCCTATATGGCCTTTCCACGGCCAATCGCATCATGGCTAACTAGGACGTTTCCTTTTGACATCTTTCCTTGCAGGGACAAGACACAAGTTTTGCCACCAGCTTGGCCGAGTTCTTCCAACTTCTCATTGCTCCTGCCCTCTTTGTCGAAAGATGTTAATGTTGCAAGGTTCTGGAACCTGTCGATGCATTTCAAGAAGCATGGTGCCAGCTGTTGGGAACATCCACGTGCACTCCCATAATCAAACATACTTTGTTAGGACAAGGAATAGGCCCCCAAACTGGACCACCTCGGAAATTCCTCCAAACTTCATGAGCCCTTAGCACCAGATCAGATTCAGATCGGAGTCTACACATTTCAATCCTCTGGCCGCGCTCGCTCGCCTCCGGTCCAGATGGCCACCGCCTTCGCGTTGCGGAGCCTGCCGGACCGAAGCGAAGGGCCGATGCGAAGCGAAGGGCGGCATGGATGGCCGACTTACAGAACGGCATTTGGGTAGAACATGCGGGGATGTGATGAACGCGAGGGGATTTTCATGCATGTCACCCGGATAGACTGTAGTTCATTGGCGCACTGGCTACGCTTACGTGGGGCCATGCATTGGCAAATCCAGATATGACAGTCCTAGGAGCAGTTGGAGATCAGAGCCGTTATGCCCAGGTAATTTTCATCATCGTCCCATGGTACACCGTATATATACATATATAAATCAATCAAGACAGAGACCCTGACAGTAAGTAGGGAAACATGCAAGAAATAATGAGAAGGGGCAGAATGGGATCGGGCACATGAGCAGCTCTATGAGTTGTATAGATGATTTAGATCTGCGTCAGGCCTTGAGTAGAAGTTTGGAACAAGCTGTCTCAAGGGAGCGGCGTTTTTTCCCATTTAGATTGCATCTAAATCAGTCATCTGACCGACCGGCGCACAGATTTTTTACACACCGTGTCTCCGTGGTTTCGACACCGCAGGCGGTGGCGAACCTCATCGGAAACTTCCTGAACATGCTGCCCGGGTGCTGAGCAAACTTGGCTGATCACCCTGGGGTGCCTGAGCTGATCTCAATCGTTGTTACTGTGTGGACAGCAGGCCAGTAAAGATCATAAAGGAGGGACATGCTCACCCAACGAGAGCAAACGTAGGCCGTTAGGCCCGTTAGGCAGGTCGTGGATGGTTTCGAGGCTTTTGGTAGAACTACTTCCCTAGGCTTCCGCTCACGGTTTGACCTGGAAATGCACTGGGCAGAAGGGCAGGAGCCTAGTGAAGAGAGAGAGGGAGAGAGCTACCATGGATTGGGAATTCAACAGCCCAAAGGAAGATTGATGTGACTTGCTTAGCAGTTGCTTCCCTCGAAGTGAAGGTGACCAACCTGTCCTCTGCTCCTGGTGAAAGGGGTGTGGGAAGATTGACAAACTATTCGCGCGCTCTCTCTCTCTCTCTCTCCCTCTCTCTCTCTCTCATTCCTTCCATGCTTCCAATTTGCTTGGCACCCCGACGGCTCCGTCTTGACCTAGCAACTCACACACTGGAGATCAGTGGAGTGGTTTGGAAGATAACTTCCCCCAACCACGACGTTGGTGTTTAGTTGGCAGTTGGCCAAGGTCGATCTATCCATGACCTCAAGCTGATGCGACATGATGCGACTAAACGGTCGCTCAGTGAACTTCCTGTGAGGCCCATCCGCGTCTCCTACGACCCCAAGGAGCCATACATGCACCAGCCTTAGGGCGGCAAAGTGGTGCAGTAAGAATAAAGCTAGGCAGCAAGTGACAGGAGTCTACCAACAAAACTCCATTGGGCGGCAGTTTCACCATGTTCCACCTGCAGAGTTCGCACACATGTCGGGTGCTTATAACTACTATACTAGTGCCCAGCGTGCCAATCAGCTCCGTGCATCTTGATCCTGACCCAGTGAAACAGGCACCTGCAGTTTGGGCCTGGCCTACCGGTTCAAGTCATGCTTGATCCCTCCGCCCAGTGAGAAGCACAACCAGTTCCTGCCAACTATGCTTGATGGGAACCATCCATCAACCAACAAAGTCCCAAGCAAAGCAATTTGGATTTAAGACGAATTTGTCCATCGTGCGAACCCCCTGCTCACCCTAAAAGGACACTATGAACAAAGACGGTGCCCACCGATGAGCACCAAAAAGGGTCTATCTTTTGTATCCTATTTTGTGTAGCACTCTCCAGGTGGTGTTGAGATTGGAAAACCGGGTCGCGTCTACCGAGGGACATCGCCTCGCGAGTGGCCACGTCAACGATCAACGTGCAGCGCTACAACATGGCGCCCTTCATTCAGATCGTGACTTGGTCCAAAATCCCACCGGACCGTGGAGGAAGGTGCCCCCAAGCAGGAAAAATGAGGAAAACTGGAGAAATGTGTTTTTCTTTTAAAGGTTTCAAGCTGGGGACTTTTGGTCTCCTAAGCGAGGCTGATGTGGATTCCCATGAGTGGCGAGATTGTGTTCCGAGGCGAGGAAGTATGCGTTTTAGGTGGGCATGGAGTTTTTCTTGGTTGTGGTTTGTTCACCATGGGTGCTGAGCAGGCTGATCTCACAAACATATAAAGTCGCTCTTCGGAAAGTTGGGGTCTTTACACCTGGTGATTGTGCTGTGCGCAGGTGGCCGTGCACCAAGGCACACTCTTTAAAAGCGGAGGTGGATCCTCGCCCCATTGGATCAAGGCAACTTTCTTTGCAAGTAAGCTTCTGCCTACTCAATGTTGGTTTGAGGGCGTTTAATCCCTTCCACCTATTAAAACACACGGCCCCGCCTAATAACAAACACTCGGGTGCAATTTTTTAAAAAGGGGTCCCTGAATTGGGGGGCCCGCAAAGATGGAAACCTGGGAAGAGCTTCAAAGCCGAAAAGTCGCCTAGGAAAGGTTGATATATTTATATAAAATCATATTAATTATGTAAACTCGTATGAAGAATTTAACATCCTCCAGATCGAAGGTTTTCCCTTTTCCTTTGCAAACACCCTTTATAAAAATAGTGGTTCTTCATTAGACTAATAGCTCAAGCTTTCGATCACGGTGATGTCGCTGCGCCATGCGGTTTTCGCCGCCTCGGTGTGCCATTGGGGGAAGGAAAGCATGGTGGTGTAAACAAATGTAGACAAGTAGGGTATGGTAGGGTTGTTTTTCGAACCTAATTTTAATCCAAACACATCCACACAAATCGGCCATGTTTGTAGTGTAGCGGTTTTAAAAGTTAACATTTAACTAATATAAACCATATTTAGGAGTTTCGGGCATGGTTATGTTTTTAAATATGTACACGGGAACCCGCGCCAGCGGAAACTGGAACCACGAGGCTTCAGAACACTTTCTGGGGCTGAAACAAGGTTTCTCGAGGTGCCTGGTGCCCGCAGGTGCCCGCAGGTGTCTCAGCTTCGCACCAAAGGCTCATGCCGAGCAGAGAGCTCCTGAGCCGTCCCGACTGGCACCCCGAGTGTCCGAGCGGTTGTTCTGCATGCTCGAGCCGCTGGCGTGACACAAACGTGTGCCAAGGTGAATGAGACACAGCCGCACTATCCTACTACTGACCCTTCCAGGAGAGTGTCTTGCAGTGTTTTGGTGTTTGCACTCGCACCTCCATGCACGTCCTGCACGGGGACACGGAGGTAGGAGCGAGATAGGCTAAGCAAGAGGTTGGTGCTTGTCAAGTGACACTGAGTGGGAGAGCGGTTGGAGTGGATGGGGAAGCCAAAGTAAGGAACATCAACAAGGGAGGGCTGTTGCCGACCTCAGCTGGTTGCTGTTTGGTCGTGGTCCAATCAGAGGGTGCTGTCATAGTTATATAGGATTATAGGACCAGATGAAGAAACCCAATCGATCAAGCGCATATCTATAATACACACTTCAAGTGTATTTTTGCATTACCTTTTCCGAATCCCACCCAAAGGGCGCGCTGCCACACGGAACCCGTGGCAGGAACCCGGTGTATCAGCCGCTGGGCGTTTTTCAGACATCAGACCTGATGGATCCATCTGAGCCGAAGGGGACTGATGCTCCGTTCTCACCCACTCCGTTCACTCCTGAACGTGGCCTAATTGATGAATCAAACCTCCTCCACGTTTTGATGTTCAAAGGATGTGAAAGATCTCCTGAACTGCGACCTTGGAGCCTTTGAGAACCCACGGGTCTCCAGGGTCTTAATTTGTTGCGAGGCAAGCCCTGCATTCAAAGTGAACCCGAGATTAATCCACAGCCTGCGGAGAGCCGTGAACGGCTGGCCATTTCCTCTATTCGCGGGTTTGCTGTTTCTTGTGGTTGGGGATAGACGTAGTTCACATCCACGTTGGACCGAAGAATTGCAAAGCCCTGGATTTGGGGCAAGACCTCGCTGACCCCACAGCGATTTGCAACGCGACGACATGTGACCGTGGTTTCCAGATGTTCCCAGGTTCTTCTGCGAGCCCCAAGATCGTCGGCAGGGTGATTCGGATAGGGTAGGTCTTAGAAAATGAACAACACAAGATTGGACCCTGTGACCCAGTGCTTCACCTCGCTATGTCATGGGTCACGACCCGTGCGTCTCGCCCCGCTTGGGCTTTTTCGAGGTCCATGGTTGATGTCGTCCCGCGAGACGACGACAGTGAAGAGCCCGTGGGCCCAATGTTTGGACACAGCCCCACGGGGGGGTGAACGGAGATGATCCGAAGAGAGGCCCTGGATCTTGTAGACCATGTTTCTCAGTCGTTGGAGGTGGGACAGTGCCCATGAGCAGTAGCCGGAGACGAAATGGCCCAAGGTATGAACAAGGCGGTGCCGTGAGTACTAGCTAAGGATGACAGACTGTGACAGACTTGTTTAATATTTACTCGCTGCTGTGAAGATTGGAACAAAGCGCCGCGACTCATATTTACAAGGCGCCCTCAGTTTGAAGGGGCTCAGCGCTGGCGCAATTTTCGGATACTAGGTAGAACAAAACCCACGCCCCCCGCTGGCGCAAACCAAGACCTCTCAAAGGCTGCCAAGTCATTCAGCTGAGGGTCGGCCTGAAGGGCGTCTTGGACCTTTTCCTTTTCGCCAACACCAGGAGAGCGAGTAGCGCGATTGGAGTTTGGTGGCGCATCTGTTTTTTTTCCGAACAGGGGAGTCTGCTTGGAGGGTCTCTTATTTGGAGGCTGCGAGAGTGAGTGGCATCCTTCGACTTGACTTAGCTGACTGAACTGATGTGGCGATGGCCGGAGCCTGTAGAACTTATATAATTACATGAAGGGGATGAAGGGGTGGGACAATGTCGTCCTGATCGCTTGGCCACAGACCTTCGATACCATTCATATTTTAAGCTCAACAAGATTTGAACATAGCAATCAGAAGTTCACTCTCCTTAGAGGCTTTGCTGTGTACAAGCAGTTCGGGCTTAGACAGCCAGCACAGTGGGAAGAGCCGTGAGAAACCTCTCAGGGTGACCAGGGTGACCCCCACACTTCTGGAGTTCTGATATGATTTTTGTCTCAAAGACTTTGAACAGAACAAGCAATCATGGAGTTTGCTGCCATTGCTCTTATGTGCTCTTCACTGGGTTCCATCTTCCGGCCGAATCCAGGGAAACGACCTTGCACTACATGGTGAGGTAGACCTCGTTAGCATCCAGAGATAGCAAGACCTGCAAGATTGTTGGGCTAAATCGACTTGGAGACGACCACATCTCCCAAGTCCTTGGGCGCGTCGCAGCAGCCCAAGCGGCGGGCGCAGCTCCCTCACGCTCCCTCACGGCCGCCGTGCGATGCTAGGAATGGACAGATCTTCCGGCTCGATGGGGTCTTCAACACGACGGCGAGGGAGACCAAATCGACCGGTCGACGTGGGTGTGAGATGGAGTGATCGAAGATTTTTCTACTAGTAAGGGACCTGTTACTACTAGCGTGGCACTTGTTACTACTAGTAAGGCACTTGTTCCTAATAGCAAACATTGTTACTACTAGTAAGGCACCTGTTACTACTAGCGTGACTGTACTGTGTTTCAAAGTGTTTCAATGCATTTCCAGCGACGCTTCAGCCCTTCATCTCTTCAACTTCGGTGGAATGTCTAATTAGGCGCCTTTGAGCCCCCCCTGTTTGATCGATCGTTGAGATGAGAACCACATGACAACGGCTAAGCTTTTACCATCTTTTGCACCATCGCTGGTAGGTTGGAGCATTGCTACTGTCGTAGTTTGGAGGCCATCGCTGGTAGGTTGGAGGATTGCTACTGTAGTAGGTTGGAGGCCATCGCTGGTAGGTTGGAGCATTGCTACTGTAGTAGGTTGGAGGCCATTGCTGGTAGGTTGGAGGCCATTGTTAGTAGGTTGGGGGCCATCTCTATTAGGTTATGTTTCATGTTTCGATTCCTGAGACCCTTGTCTTGTATTCTTGTTGAAGCCCCTTCATATCAGGTCCTCACCAAGCAGACGGTGCGGCTGATTCTGATGCACGTGAAGGCCGGGTGCCGAAAGCTGAAAGCAAGCAAGAGGAAGAAACGCCGGAATAAACACAGGGAACATGTCAATGTAAAGCTATCCAAAAAAACAAGTTGGACCTACAGTAATTCACCTTTTTTGGGGGATAAATGTGAAGACAGCTATGAGAGCCATCGACAACCCTGCTGATCGCCTGATCGCTGGGGGAAGGCAGGGTGGCATTGCATGAACCCGCATGAGTACCAACCCCACCTCTGTCAAGAGACGCTAATTAATTCGTAGGGTTCAACAACAGGATCAGCTACAATAGTTTCGCCAGACCTAAAGCAATGGGAGCACCGACCCAAGCAAGCCCACCCTGCGACCAGTGAATCAGCAAACTGGACATCGTATAATCCAAGGAACGCGTTCCCCCTTGTGAGTCCTCAATCCACAAAAAACCGTTTAAACAGAATACGAAGTCGTTTCCGTTCCGCATCCTTTCCAAACATGTTTTTAAGTTTTACCATGACAGACATTGAAGATCTGTCCATACCTGTCCCCACCATTCCCCACCCAATGGATTTGTTCCACCCCGTCGGGCTTGCAGTGCTCCTTTGTAACAGCTACTGCCAGTTGTTGAAGTCGAGACATGTTTTTTTCAAATAGCAGATAGAAGGTGATGAGCAAACCAGGAAGTCGATACACTATAGCGTTTCCTTGCAGGGTAGAGTGTGTTGGAAGATGTTTTCTAAATGCATGGTTTTATTCAATGGGCTTGTTTTACTCAGCGTTCACAGTGTTTTGATTGCACAAGACCTACCGCAAGGAAGTTGGCAGGCAACCCATAGGTTGTTTCTAGAGGTTTCTATAGGCAGCCCATAGGTTCCCTTTCATCTTGGGATTGTGGGTCTCATATCTCCAACCCTCCAAGGGCTTATAGGGCCAACCCTCGGAAGCAGGGTCCTCATGGAAACCTGGCTTCCGCTGTGAAGCGGGCACACTATTGAGGGGCATGAACTTGTGCCAGATGAGGTGTGCCCTTGGGGGAAAGCTTGATTGGGCTACCTTCGCTGGTGCTGCCGGTCTGCTGCTGGTTTTCTGCTGCTGCTGCTGCCTTGCTGCTGCTGGTTGGCTACTGCTGGCGGTTGGCTGCTGTTGATTTGCTGCTGGTTGGCTGCTGCTGCTGCTGGCTGATTGCTGCCGGTGCTGCTACTTGCTGCTTGGTTGCTGCTGGTGCTGCTGCTTGCTGCTTGCTGCTGCTTGTCGCTGCGGCTGCTGCGGCCTGGGCTACAAGGCCTACTCACTTGCTGCCTGTCATTGTCTTGCACGCCCTATGATGGTGTCCCAGCTTTTGATTGGTTGCCACAGCTGCATTGCAAGGACTTTGTGTTTGGGTGTTAGTGGGCATGGGTCTTCTGGGCAAACGTGTTCATCTCGCCCAATACCTCGCCCACATCTCGCCCTCTATCTCGCCCAACCCACCAGGCACCAGGACCTCCAGAGGTGTGCGATGGGGATTGCCATTGTCACAACACATATGTGTATATCAGCAAAGGCCTCTTCAATTTACATGGCCCCCCAGGCAGGGAGCGATTTGCAGGGTTTAGAAACAATCTAGGCTAGGAGAAAAAGTGCTTGTTTCGAAGCGGTGTGCCATGGGGATTGGGAGAGGAATACACACAAGAATGCATAGATATTTTTGACGTTTAAAGAACAATTCCATGCTGTTTGCACTCCAGGTAGAAACTTGAAGCTGGTACCAACATGTGGGTCAAAATCGGGGTGCCATGGGGATTGGATCACGGCAACCCATAGATAACTTTTGAAAACATCAACATGTAGAAGGTTGAATCGCAATGGAATAGTGTAGGTTTAGAAACAATCTAAGAGAAAAAGTGCTTGTTTCGAAGCGGTGTGTCATTTTGTCCAAATGGGGTAAGTTCTTACATTCGTGGGGTAAGCGGTGTGCCATGCGGGTGGGTCAAGTTCATGTGCGATGGAGTAAGTTACCACGTCGGGTAGCTCTCCAAATTGCGTTGCCATTGGGATTTGCAGTTGAAGTTTTCTCTTTTTGGAAAGGCGAATCTGGAGAACCTTGTTCTGTATGTCACGAAAGCTAGCGAAGCTAGCTGGAGTTACTCTTGCGATAGCAAGGTTTCTTTCGACCGGGTGCAAATCCTAACCCCCGATTTTTCAGGTCGAAGACCCCCCCCCCCCCCCCCCCCCCCTCCCCTCCCCTCTCCCCACCCCCCCCCCTCCCCTCCTCCTTGTCTTCCTCCCATCTTCCCTCCCTCCCTCCTCCCTCCTCCCTCTTCGCAAGTTCGACTCCGTCCTGTCGTCGCTCTTTGGCATGCGGTTAGCGTTGCGTATCTTGCGGCCGCACTCGCTCACTCTCACTCTCACTCTCTCACTGTCTCACTGTCTCACTGTCTCTCTCATCTCTCTCATCTCTCTCATCTCTTTCTCATCTCTCTCATCTCTCTCTCCTCTCTCTCTCTCTCTCCCTCTCCTCTCTGTCTCTCGTCTTTCCGTCTCTCTTCTCTCTCTTCTCTCGCAGGAGGATCCGGGCAAAGAGCCACATATAAAGGACTCTTCACCCCTGCCTCCAAAAAGAGCGCCGTGTTTTTTCCTACCTCGCTGCCCTCCACTTTCCCATTCTGGAGCGCTAGCTTTCGCCCCCCCCCCTTGGCCTCAAGTAGCGTTTACAATGGGGAAGGCCAGCAGTCTTGACTTAAGTACTGACTTTTGCAAATCGGCGTTCCATGGTGGTTTAGTATCCCACATGCAAAATGTATTAACTTCAATGGGCACCAGTAACACCTCATCAATTGAGGCCATCACCATGTGGGCGGCGCGGGATGCCAACTTGCCGACCGGTGGCCCAGGCGGTTGATTGGTTTGAGTATCAAACATTTGTGAAGTCTAATGAGCCCCGAGCCCTGAATAGAGGAAACACGCCAACTCGCCAATGAATCATGAATCCCCTTGAGCACGGCATTGGACGTCCAGTGGGATCAATTCTTTTTTAAATCTCCCTCTCTCTCTCTCTCTCTACTTGTGGTTGGTGGACGTTGCACTTGATTTGAAGGATTTTTCTTGAAAGGGCGCCCCCACCACTAGCCATATGGCTTGTGGCTGCTGGAGAAAAGATGAAAAAAGACGGTCTCAGACAGTCTCAAAACCAACACCTCCACGTGAGCCGCGGTGTCGCCGAGGATCCCGAGGCTCCTGGCGTCCAGCGCTCAGAGTGGCGTTTCCGGTCCCTCAGCCGGTGGTCATATTGATAGGGCCTTTGATTCCGCCACATGCACCAACTGCTGTAGTCAGTTTGTAAATACTTCTTTGTGATCGGATTTCTGGTTTCTCCCACCTTTCGGCACGTACAGGACCCAGCTTATTATGCTTATTGAGACTTTTGGGAGCCCGGTAGTCCATGTCAGGAATTGGGACGGTTGCGCTTGATCCCCAGGACCTATGAGCGCGCGCAGGAGGCGAGGGACATGGCCCGGGTCCTCAAAGCCAAAATGGTGCAAAGCGTTAGGCAGTGGTTGGCCTCGCAACCACGCTGCACTCCGCTTCACCTGTATGTCGAAAGATTCTAAGGACAAGGGCGTGGTGCTCACGCATATCATGGTAAAGGGCAAGACAGGCGACTGCAGGGGGCTCGTGGGGGGCTTGTAGGTGGGCAAGCCCCGGCTCTACTGACAAGCAAGGCTGTCAGGAGAACTGCAAGGCTGGAAGGAGAACTGAACTGTATATAAGTATGGCGGTGGGATTAATGACTTTAGCGAACTTTTCCACTTCATAACCCTGTCAAACTTGGAGAGGATATGCGCAGGAACATTGATTGATTGACAGATTTCTGTGATAATTACAGTATATTTGGTTTCCTCAAGATGTCCGCGGCAGTGTTATGCTTCCACAACCTATTGCATGGTTCATTGCGGAACATGCATCTTAGCAAGAACACATGCTTTTTTTTGGGGGGGGGTCCTGGCCAAGCCGTGCCTTTGGAGAGCTGGACTGTTTGGATAAGCCTGGTCTTGTGATCAGAGTTCAGCATCGGTAGTTTCTTGCCCCTAAAAGGGATGCCATCAGAACATCAGCAGCTTAGTGGATGGTATTGACTTCCCTCTTGCCTTGGTTCGAAAAATGACCGTTGCCTTGTCCCTCACGCCTCACCAGGCTTGCCATCGATTGCCTCCATGTCCAGCGGTTTGGAGCTGAACCTGTCGGACGAGCAGCAGAACGTGCGCGCCGCCCGCCGTGCGGAGGGCCCAGGAAGTGAAGAAGGCCGGTGTTGTGGGGAACTCATCTGAAAACATTGACGAGCAAGGCACGTTATACGACATGGGAAATCATATAATATGAATTTGGCCCAGCTCATTTCTTATAGATTGGAAGGTTGGTTGGTGAATGTCACTACTATAGCTTTTCAGTGCTTTTTCATTGATCCTATGGGACTGGCTGAAGAACTGTAACACTCACGTCTTGCCTGGTTGTTGGGGGCAGAAATCCCAGTTGCACTCAGAGGCTGCATGTCTTCAGTTGACCAACCCCAATGTTTCCAATGTCTCCGTTTCCTGATGGCAAACGTCCACAGACCATTTCATGACGAACAGAGATCCAAATGAGCCATCTGATTGGAGACAGTGCCATTTCCAGCAAAACCACTGGTAGACCGAGTTCCCCATGCACCGACCCGACGCTCACCAGTTTCTGAGGCTTCAAGCTTCATTCGGCGCTGGAGATGGGCGGGGACATCCCGCAGAACCTCATGAAATCTGCGGTGCTGCCTGTGCCCGGAAGCCGATGGATGAACGAAGGGGAGCTAGCAGCAGAAAGTAGCATTCGATCTGTAGGCTTTCGGTAGGCAACATGAGAAAGAACTTAGCTCTTCATCTATAAAATTGAGTACACCGATTTAGGGTTCTCAAAATCCATCGATCACTGAACTGGGGGCGAACGTCCTTGCAACAGATTGCATCTCTCTCAGGCCACTCCAGCCAAAGGCCAAGGCCCGTGCGCCGGCACGCTGGAGTGAGCAGCTGGCGAAGGTCGACCGGCCGGCGGCGACGCAAGCCGCAGCGCAACCGGCGATGTCGATCCTGGCACCGCAGGCGTGGGTGTTCAACAGTTCCATGTTTTTCACATGAGTTTTGCTGGTGGACTCAGGTTGTCAACATGAGTGTCCAAGAATCTAGAGATTTTGATTGTGCATGATGCTCCATTATTACTGAGACGTTTCTCATTATGTTTTTGATGTCCATGGAGCCTTTGGGACATTGGCGGTTGTGTATCATCAAGCTGGGAACCGGAACATCTCAGATGACTTATGGCCCATGATGCTCTTGCTTGGATCCGGATGTTGTTTGAACATTGGTTCTTTCATTTGTCGAGTGATTTTAATCAAGGCTTACTACAAGATGCCACACGTTTCTATTATGTAATCCATATTAGTCCCTCGGGAGCAGCCAGCAAAGTTTTGACACTCACTGCATTTCCTTTAATGGACGATTTCTGTCTTCTACCTAGTCCAGGGTGAAGACTACTTCACAGCTCGGGATGTTTCCATTCCCTGGCTAGTAGCCCAACCCCCAAGCTACTCCCAATGGCCCGACCTGTTGGGGCATTTGTTCCTGGAGGCTGCTGAGACATCTGTGCAGGACTTGGGTTGATGGGTTGGGGGCGGCTGGTGGGATGGCTTGGGCCGGACCGCAGGGCTTGGACCAGGGCAGTCAGCAGAATTGTTGGGAATTAATGAGTGGGAATGAGTGGGAGCAAAACACCCAGCACCAGCACGGAAGTGTCGGCAACAAAGTGCATCCTGCGCACCTCAATTTCTGCAAACTCAAGCTCCTTGTTAGTTTTTGTCACCATCGTTGTTATGTTTTGTGCAGGGCCGGGGCTAGTTTATGATGAAAAATGGTCACGCCTGAACAAAAGAACGACACAGCTCTTAACCCACAGCCTGGCATCATTAAGAGTCACCATGAGAATCCCCTTCTCTACTGGTATGAATCAAAGGGATACATCATGTGGATGAGTATCTACCGCGTGTTCTGTTACCCACTCGTTCATCAACATGGACCGACTGCGAACCAGAGCCACCTGCCACACGACAACTCCGCCCAACAGGTGAGCAAAGCGCCGAAGCTGTCGGTGGAAGAGGAGGCGCGCTTTGGTGGACTCCGCGTTTTCAAGACATGTTGAGATAACATATAAAGTTGAGGCCATACTACTAGGAACAAGAAGCTACTAGGGGCTCCTGGCACTACTACTAGTAGCAAGAAACTAGTATCTTGCTACTAGGAGAGCCCTACTAGGAACAAGAAGCTACGAACGGAGCAAGGCTTCATTGGAAGTGACGGACCTTTGGAGATCAATGTGCGGCCCTGGGTCTACAGGCAAAAACATGATCCTTTATACAGCACTCAGACCTTCTTCGACGTTTTTGGATGATTGTTAGGAAGCCAGGTGACCGGTTGGGGGATCAGTTTTGGATTCTCGGAGCGGGCAGAGTTGTGATATCAAACTCCAAAACTGATTGACTTTCTATGCTAGCACCACTCCATTGGATGAGAAACTAGTGGCGCCTGGTCTGCTGCTCCGTCGTTGTCCGGAGGTGGCACACCGTCGAGCAGTCGGCTGCCCAGAGACTAATCATTTGCATACCATCTAGACCCTACCCTACCGGAAACACGCCTGGTTTTGGAGAGGGAGGATTCTCTATGTGTTTTCTGACAGGTTCTGGGAAGACGATCAAAGTTGCGGAATCCCACATCAGTGGTTTCAGTTGGTGCTTTGTGAGTGATTTTGCCTCGCAGGCCACCAAACGACCCCAAGATGATCTCATGGGAACATATCAAGTAAAAAGGTTAGAAGACTGAAGACAGCATCTGCATTTAGCACCGCAAGTTTGCGGATGGGAACGAAGGGACCTCCGACCATGCGGTCCATGCCTTCAAGTGGAGTGAGACTGATTTGGCGTTGTTTTAGTGGGTTACTTGTTGGGGCTGCATACTGCCCAAGTGTTGTGAACCTTGCTGTCCTTGCATTTTGTATCACTGCATGTTCATCTCCCGCTCCAAAGGCCCAATGATCAGTGGTTTGGGTGCATCCACTTAGACTTAGACGAACGGATTTACTGAAAGCCATTTCAGAGGTCCTCGAGAGGCTACTGCTTGCCATTCGTATGTCAGAGCGGTTTCACCCCAATGGTTGAGGGAACGAGGCCCAATGGTTTGGCCCATTTAACTTATTGTGACAATGCTTGCCGTCAGTGAGGAAAGCATCGCAAAACACATGCCCGCGACTTGCAGTTCCTGGGGTACAGCCCACCTCCGAAGGAAGCGCAAAAGCGACGGGAACGGAGTTATCAAGTTGCGGCTACTTGGGTCTGGGCCCCGGACGAAGACGCGAACGCACGGCACTGGGGCCAGTGTCGTGGACATGACCGAACTGTGGAGGACGCATTTTCATCGTTCTTTAAAGCGCTTCCATGTAGAAACAAGTGCATCGCTAGTAGAAACAAGTGCCTTACTAGTAGTAACAA